TCTGCAGTGTTAATAAACCAAGGTAAATCTTCCATATGTAATACTTCTACTTTTTCTTCTTCCCGCAGACAAAGCCCGAGAATTGCTGACTTCCTTTGAGAAAGAACAATTCCAGGTATATAATTGAGGAAGATTTAAGTTTCCAGTTCACCTTTGCAAAAAAAAACCCATTAATGTGTGAGTTTGATTCTGTAAAAGAGAAATAGGCGGTTTGAGGAATAAGTATTTGTACAGTACTTTTTAAGCATTTATGACAGACATCATTTTACAAGAAACAGTAAAGCCTGATCTTCTGGGAAGTGATAATCCATTTGGTCCTGCTGCTGCTGCTTAGCTCATTGAAACAAAAGTCAAATGGTCAACTACTGGCTGTTCAGCAGGAAGGTGACCAATTAGAAGTGTAAGGCATCTCTGCACTCAATCTGGATTTGAAGCTGAGACATTATAAAGTCTGCATGTTCTGCAGCTGTAAAATCTGGTCCAGTGTTAGTAACTGGGAGCAGAACAGGCCTGAAAACAATTATGCACTTCATGATTAACTTCTCTGTTTCTGATGAAATTATTTGAGGTGAAATGTTGGCAAGACAATAAAATAACTTAGTTTAAGGTTTTGCAGAACTCACTCTTCAGATAGTGTCATGAGATCCTCAGCATCCAGCTAAATAACTGGAATAGGCAGATGGGACTTCTCGTCTGAAGGACTCTGTTCCAAATAAAGTACTACTCCCTCAGTCCTGCAATTAAGTATTAGCCTGAATCTTGAGCTCTAGTTCTGTTGTGAGGCCGAGGCCTATATTCCACTGATTTGAGAGAATACGACCAATTAAACCAGGCTACCAAACTCGTTAGAGTAAATTGTGTGCTTCAGTATCCATTTGACTTTTGAGTCTTCCTAGGGCATTTTGATAACAACTAAATGGTAGGCTGTCTTAGCATGTACTTCATTCAGGACCATGCTAACATAATTTGTTAATTTTAGTAGATTCTGGAAAGGTTCCATCAGACCAGAAAATAGCAAATATTAACCCCAGTATAGGAAAGGAGGGAGGTAGGAAACAGTAAACTATATGCCATTTCGCTTGACGTCAGTTATGGGGAATCTGTTAGAATCAAACATTTTGGAGAGATTATGGCTGCACATTTCAAAGAGCTCATGATAATTCTGGGACCTTAACTTTTTATGGTCTATAACAATGACTTAGATGTAGGGAATGAATGTCTGTACCTAATTTCACAGAAGACACCAAGATAGGTAGGAAGATATGTTGTAAAGAAGACAAGGAAGTTGCAGAGGTATATAGATAGGTTGAGTGAAAAATTTGGCAGCTGAAGTATAATATGGGAAAATGTGAAGTTGTTCACTTTAGCAGAAAGAATGAACAGGCACAGTATTACTTAAACGCAGGACAACTGTGAAATTCTGAGCTGTTTCAGGTATTGTAGTGCATAAATCAGAACAAGTTGCTATGCATGTACTGACGCAATCAAGAATTCCATCAGGTATGCTGTCCTTTATTTAGTTTCAATTCTTCTTATAATAATAATGTTGTTATCGCTTCAGTCATGCAGGGCTTTGAGACCATGTCTCAAAACTATGATCACTTTTAGTTTCCTGATTTAAGGAAGAATATAAATGCATGAGAGGCAGTTTGAAGGAGGTTTACTGGATTAAAATCTGGAATGAGTGTGTATTTATAAGGATAGGTTGGACAAACTCAGCCTATTTCCACAGGAGTTTAGAAAAGTGAAGAGTAGCTTGATTTGAATTGTACAGGATCCTGAATTTGACAAAATGGACATGGAAAGGAGGCTTCCTTCTGTAGGCCATTCCAGCACAATGGGGCATTGTTTTTAAAAATAAGTAGTGCCCTCTCAGGACAGAGATGAGAGAGTCTTTTTCCCAGAGTTGTGCAAATTTGGAATACTCCGCCTCAGAAGGGTGTAGAGGCAGGGTCGTTGATTATTTTTAAGGCAGAGTTGGATAGATTCGTGTGAGCAGGGAAATCAGGTTATTGGGGGTAGATGAGAATAGTGAATTCTACGTAGATGGATCAGAGTGAATGGCAGAACAGGCTTGAGAGGCAGAATGATCTGTTACTCTTATTTTGTTTATTTATGAAGTTAGTGGTAATGCAAAGGATGCAGTTCTTCAGTTTGAACAATCTTGTCCAAAGCGTTTATAAATATAGTTTGACTCAGCACAGAGAGATCCCAGTGAGGAAGAAGATCTCTAGAAAAGGGATAAACCGATCATGATCAACCAAGTAAGTTAAGGATCGTGTCAAATTAATTGAGAAGACATGCAATGTGGCAACGATTAATGGTAAACCAGAGGACTGGCTAAGTTTTAGAAACTAACAAGAATGACAAAGTAAAAGGGATAAATTAAACTGAGGGGAAATTAACAAGTAATGTAAAAATAGATAGTAAGAGCTTCTCTAAATATATAAAAAGGAGAACTGAGGCCAGAGTGAACATAGGCCCCTTAGAGAATGAGATTGGGGAAATAATGGGAACCAGGAAATACCAGAGGAGTTGAATAAATACTTTCCATCAGTCTTCAGTGTAGAGGACATTAATAGCATTCCAAAAGTGCGAAACAAGCAAGGGGCAAAATGGGGGTGAAAATAAACACAGTAACTATCACTAAGAAAAATTAGGGGGAAACTAATGGGACTCTAGACTGATAATTCCCCTGGTCCTAGGATTTTAAACAAAGTTGCTACGGAGATAGTGGATGTGCGATTAGAAATCTTTTTGGAATCACTAGATTGTGGGCAAATCCCAGAGGATTCAAAATTTGCCATTGTAACACCTTACTCAAAACAGGATGGAACAAAGTGCAGGTAACTGAGCCATTGGGAAAATAGTGGAGTGTTATAAAGGATGTAATAGCAGACCATTTAGAAATGCCTAACAGAATAGAGCAGAGCCAGTAGGTGTTCATGAAAGGAAAGCTATGTTAGACAAATTTGAAGAGGTAAGAAGCAGGATGGGTAAAGGGGACTCAGTAGATATAATATATTTGGATTTCCAAATGGTGTTTAATAAGGAACCCATGTGAGGCTACTTAACAACATAGGAGTCCATAGTGTTGTGGTAATATTTTAGCATGGATAGGGGTTTGGCTAGCAGATGGAGGATTTTCACAATGGCAAACTGTATCTAGTGAAGTGCTCCAGGAATCTGTGCTGGGCCACAATAATTTATAATATATATCCATGTCATGGTAGAATTGAATATTATTTTAATTGAGAGAGCCTGTAGACAGCTGCAGCACAGAGGAATTTTGTGGTCCTTGTGCATAAACTGCAAAAAACTAGTACCCAAATTCCGTGGGCAATAGAGAAGGCAAATGGACTATTGACCTTTATCTCAAAGGGAATGGAAGATAACAATAGGGAGGTCTTGCTAAACGTATACAAGGCACTAGATGATCTTCAGCCAGAGAGTGGTGAATCTGTGGAACTCATTGGTGAAGAAGGGTGTGGAGGCTGAGTCATTTGACTGTATCTAAGACAGAGATTGGTAGGTTCTTGATTAGTAAGGGGATTGAAGATTATGGGGAGAAGGGAGTTGAGAAATGTATCGGCTATGATTGAATGGTGGAACAGACTTGCGGCCAAATTGCCTAATTCCACTCCTGTATGGAATTATTGTGTTTGCTGGTTTGAGTATTTGGATGTTTATCTTGAATTCTATGCAAAAAGTGCTGTAAAATAAAGATTTGGTGCACTCTGTCGATGATGTGTGGGATTAGATGAATTTTTGGTTTTCATTGTTTAGAAGGGTACAAACCTGGGAAGAAACTGCGCTGTCCTTCATGCAGCACTAACTACAGACGGTCTCTTGGATTCTATGTCGATGAATTATTCTACCTCATTTTAACTTTATCACCCCCCATTCAGCATAGAGTCATACAGCTTGGAAACAGACCCTTCAGTCCAACTAGTCCATGTTGATCATAATCCCAACTCTTCTGACTTGCCTGCCTTTGGCCCATTCCCCTTCAAGCATTTGTTATTCATGTACTTATCTGAATGTCTTTTAAATGTTGTAACTGTACTCGCATCCACCACTTCCCCTGGTAGTTCATTCAACAGGAACCACTCCTGGCAACATCTTGGTAAATCTTTTCTGAATCCTCTCCATCTTAATAATATCCTTCCTGTAGCAGGGAGACCAGAACTGGACACAGCATTCCAGAAGAGGCCTCACCAATGTCCTATACAACCTCAACATGACATCCCAACTCCTATACTCAAAGGTCTGAGCAATGAAAGCAAGAATACTAAGTGTCTTCTTACTACTCTATCTATATGTGATGCAAACTTCAAAGAATTATGTACCTGAATCCCTCGGTCTCTCTGTTCTACAATACCGTGTAAGGCCTGACTTTGAATTGTATAAGTCTTGCCTTTGTTTGCTTTATCAAAATTCAACCCTTTTGGTTTTATCTCCATAAACTAAAACCACATTATAATTTATTGGTCTCGGTGACCAGTTGCATAACATGCAACATCTCTTGTTACTGCTTTTGATGAAATCTTTGTTGTTCGTACACAGAATGTATTATGTAAGCCAGGAATGCCTGAATGTTGGAACTTTATGGTACAGACAGTCCCAAGGATTTGTTATGTTTGACTTCCAATGTACTTATTAAGTTCTGTATGCCTAGCAATAATGGTGGGTTTGTTAGAGTTTTACAGGTCACTTGGATCATGTCAAGTGTTACTGAACAGTCAGTTTGAGGCAGATAGGAAAAATTTGCTATCTTTGTGCTCTGAGTGAGTCACATATTTGGGTGGAGGGTGTAGGGAGTGCTCCCTGGTTTATTGTTCACCAACTCCCTGGTTCTGACCCTGGGCTTATGTAGTGGAATGTGGTGTGGTGGAAAACACAGGAGGCGGTTGCTTCAGAGGCCAAGAAAACTCTGAATTTATTGTACAAACAAATAAATTGAGTATATTTACAGAAAACAGAGTGAATATTGAAAATCTGCCTATCTTTGACTGAGATCTGTCTACCAGTTAATTTTAATCCCCAGTTAAGCCTTGCAGCCATGACTTGATACAGTGGGTGACTTTGCAGAACACCTACGCTCGGTTCGCAATAAACAACTGCACCTCCCAGTCGCGAACCATTTCAACTCCCCCCTCCCATTCCTCAGACGACATGTCCATCCTGGGCCTCCTGCAGTGCCACAACGATGCCACCCGAAGGTTGCAGGAACAGCAACTCATATTCCGCTTGGGACCCCTGTAGCCTGATGGTATCAATGTGGATTTCACAAGTTTCAAAATCTCCCCTCCCCCTACCGCATCCCAAAACCAGTCCAGCTCATCCCTGCCTCCCTAACCTGTTCTTCCTCCCACCTATCCCCTCCTCCCACTTCAAGCCGCACCTCCATCTCCTACCGACCAACCTCATCCTGCCCCCTTGACCTGTCTGTCCTCCCTGGACTGACCTATCCCCTTCCTAACTCCCTACCTACACTCGCCTTTACTGGCTCCATCCCCACCTCTTCGACCTGTTTGTTTCCTCTCCTCTATCCCTCTTCTATCCGCCTCCCACTCTCTCCCTATTTATTTCAGAACCCCCTTCCCCTCCCCCTTTTCTGATGAGGGGTCTAGGCCCGAAACGTCAGCCTCTCTGCTCCTATGATGCTGCTTGGCCTGCTGTGTTCATCCAGCCCTGCACCTTGTTGTCTCGGATTCTCCAGCATCTGCAGTTCCTACTATCTCTGACACAGTGGGTGGCTGTTATTTATTCTAACAGGGGAAAGAAAGAGAGAGATTACCTGCTGACCTAGAGTCCTATTCCACTTCCCTTCCTGAGGGGTGCCCTACAGCGTTAGCCCTCCCGAGCCCCACCTTCCCCTGTCTAAGACTAGCCAAACTGGGTTGGAAGGCCTCGATGATCTTAGGCTCACACCTGGTGTGAAAACGCCATTTTGACTGGCTCTTGTCCGTAGTCTCTTGCTGTAGCTGGAACTCTGCGAAGGGTGGCAAGTACTGGTTATAGTCAGTCTAGTGGTGTCCGCTGATGCGGTTAGACGCATGGGACCAGACCTTGGGTTTCCTTTCTTCTCTTGGTGGTCCTTGCGAGCGGGTTGTTGTCTTGGATGGTGGTGGATATTGCTGGTTTTGCCCTGGTCGGTATCTTGTGTCTCTGGATGCCTTTGCCTCTGGACGTTGAGTAGAGGTTCGTGGTTAGTTGCTGGTATTAAGTGGTTGTGAGAACTGCTTTCCTTCGCGAGTGGGGCCTGTTTCTCACTTGGACTCTCCTCGCGGAGCCCACCTCCAAGCACATACCATGTTGGTATCGGGGCGTGTTGCCAGTCTCTCTCACGCTTACTCTCTTTCTCCTGTTTCTCCTCTTCCTTCACGGCCGTGCTGGGCTCAGGGTCTCCAGATATACCCGAATGCAGGCCCCCTTATTGCCGCCAAATCTGTTGAGCTATTGTTCCTCCTCTTGGGGCTGAATGAGTTTCCTGATCACTGGAGTAGGTGTGAATGGTTTTTCGATTGAGGCAAATGGTTTTGGAATGTCCAGTATTTCTCTTGGATGGGTATTCATTCAGATTTACATCCATACGTGGAACAGGTTTGCATGTAGCACAATGGTGTGGAATGTGCAGTATTTCTGTGCCTGAGCACTGTCTGGAAAATTGTATGGCTTTGTACCTCTGTAGGCTCCAGAAGGTCTGAAGTTGTTTGTTTCCTGCAGTCTGGCTTCCATTGTTTAAGCTGGGGCATGAATAGGGGTATTCCTTTAGTCTCTGCAAGCTATTCCCTGTTCCAGACAACTGCCCCTGGGCTTTTATGTTTCTCTTAAAAACTGAAAGAACTGCAGATGCTGTAAATCAGGAACGAAAACAGAAGTTGCTGGAAAGCCCAGTTCTGGGGAAGGGTCACTGGACCCGAAACATTAACTCTGAATTTTTTCTTCACAGATGCTGCCAGACCTGCTGAGCTTTTCCAGCAACTTCTGTTTTTATATATTTCCCAGTCTGTCCCAGCCAGCCTTTTTCTGGCTCAGTTGCAGCCTGTGATTTCTAGAGTCCCAAAAGTTCAGTGAATTTAATCCAATGTAATTTCCTCAACTTGTGCCATCACAGGGTATGACCATAAACTGATGACAATTTTTGCCTCCCCTTACAAGGGAGAAATGGCTTCATCCCAAAAATGCTGCTGTACTAATTTCCAAGCTGTTAGTACTCCGGGACAATTCTGGGGAGCCAGGAATTGCTGAAGTATTAGGGTTTAGGAAGAGCCCTGGAAACTGTGTTGGCTTGGTGGGAGGCATGGGCTTCTGTGATTCTGTAGCTGAGAGTGACAGTGAAGAAACCCACAAGCAACAATGGCTTTCTGCTACTGAGCAAGATAGGAGCTCAGAGAAACATGAGCAGTACTAATTTGGTGAAGTTACCTGTCGGCAGACAAGCAGAAATTGTCTGAGAGATTTTGCTGGAGTGCGGCTTCCAGGAAGAAATGGTCCCAATTGAGCTAGAGAACCACTAGAGTGTGAGCTGCTGTTGTGTCAATCTGTGATGGAGTGGTCTTTTCAAGGAGTTCTGAAGCTGCGCCTTTGAAAAAGAAAAAAATTGGATTCTCTTATAAAAATTTGTAAGAGATTTGATGACCTGGAATGTGACTAATAACCTGAAGGGTTGCCGAGAAATCGATATGATCTGACTTGACTGCATTTGCTACTTGATATAAACCATGGAATGTTCAAATACAGTTCACCCCTTTCCCATATCTACTTCCAATTAGTTCTGGATGTTGGAAATAAATTGTGTGTAAATATATGTTGCAGATTGTTTCGCTGTTTTAACTTTGTATAATAAAGTTTTATTGTTTGTTCAAAACGTTCGAATCTAGTGGCTTTTTTAAAAATGAGTACGTGGAATGTCTCACTTAATTGATTTAGAGAAAATATTGATGGTTCTTGGCCAAATTATCATGCAAACTTAGCAGCTGGTCTTGGATCTTAAACTCCAAATCAAATTTTATGACTGTCTTGGTGCTTTTTTTCTCTTTCTCCTCACTTGTTGATGGTACTGACACTGGAGCATAAGCAACTGATATCTGATATCTCCGTCTGGTGGCACCCAAGCCCAGGCAGTGGACACTGAGCTATTTAAACAAGAGGGTAATGAAAGTTGATAACTTAATAGATGTTACAAAAAATCTTACTGAGTGAAATCCAACAGTAGTCATGTATATTCCTGTTAATGCTTGGTTACGTTGTTTCTGTTTTTACTTTGATTCTTAATGCCATCATCCATTCTCTTGAATTTTTTTTGCTCCCTTCTCTTATGTCCCCAAGTTGTTCTTGAAGTCTGCTACCTAGAATTAGATGGTTTTCTCTAGTTGAATAGTGGTGACCAGTTGAAGGCTTGCAGTAGTCCGTCCGTGTAGTGTGTGATATTAGCATGTGTTATGATTGGCTCACTAACGGAAAACAGCTTTTATTTTTGGTTGGACAAAAGACGTTGTGTGCCAAAGGGATTAGTGCTAGGGTTCAATGTTTTAGAACTTATGTAAATGATTTGGATGAAGACACTGAAAGTATGGTTGCTAAAATTGCTGATGATGCATGTAAAGGTTGCAAAGTAAGTTGTAACAAGGGCTTAGGGAGAATCAAAGAGCTGAAGATAGATTAATTGAGTTGCTAAAGATCTGGTAAGTAGAGTATAATGAGGGAAATATGAAATTGTTAATGAGAATAAAATGGATAACATGAATCAAATGGTGATAGTTTAAAGAGCTCTGGGATGCAGAGGGATCTGGGTGTTTAAATGACAAATTGCAAAAGGTTAGTATGCAGATACAGCAGGTAATTAAGACTAATATAATGTTATTGTTTATTGCAAAAGGAACTGAATATAAAAGGAGGGAAGTTATATTGGCCATTGGGAGTGACATCACATCTGGAATACTGTGTGTCGTATTGCTGTCATTATTTAATGAAGTTTGTAAGGAAGGCAGTTCAGAAGAGAATCAACCAGATTTTTAGCTTACTAGACTAATACTTCGAATGAATGGCTTGTCTTATGAGGAAAGATTGAGCAGACTAGGCTTTCTATCTGCAGAAATTTACAAAAATAATAAGTGACTTGAGGGATCTTCACAGGATGGGTGTGAAAAAAATACTCTTGTGGGAGCACCTAGAACTGGGGGTCACTGTTTACAAAAATGCGACACCCCCATCTATTTGAGAAATAAGGAAATTTTTTTTCTACAGAAAGTTGAATCTTTGGAGCTCTCTTCTGCAGAGCACAGTGGAATCAGGGTCTTTCTATATTTTTAAGTAGTAAATAGATCGTTGGTAAAGAAGGGGCAATTGAGAATAGGTGGGAATGTGGACCATTCATGATCAGCCATAATTGTATTGAATGGTGGAGCAGGCCACAGGGGCTGAGTGGCATATTGCTGCTCTTAATTCATACGGTTGCATGTTGAGCACATTGATTTTGAATCTAGCTGCAAATTAACAGTGCACATGAAATTGTTCTTTTTTAATTTCCTAGGTTTTGATGGAGCAGAAGTTAGTTTCCAAAGCAAAGAGATTCTGGAGTACTCCAACTCCTGAAGTTGAATGGATTTTATCACAAGTTAAAAAACATGCTTTGGAGAACAGGTACATTAAAAATGGATGTTTTATGATCAGGTTAGCGAAGACCAAGTTCTGCAGCTGCAGTTGACTGTCTTGAACAGGGAGGGATTGGAAACTTTTACTAGACTGTACAATGCCTCCTGTTGCACCCTGTTCCTGTAACGCCCCACCAGTTTCAAATTATATATATATATATATATATACGAAGCTTTATTTGAGCTAAGATGATTTTAAAACCAAAGCAAACACTAGATACTGAAAATCTGAAATATTGACAGAAAATGCTGGAAATGTTCAGTCTGTCGGGCAATACCTGTAAAGAGAGACAGTCAACATTTCTGCTTTTTATTTGATTCCCTTCAATTGTGTATTTAATTTTTGGTTCTTAAGCATTCCTGGGGACCTGTGGTGACCTGCTTTATCTTTTATTTTAATTTGTAGGGTTTGTTTCCTATATTTTAATTGAGCTCACGACTTATGCATAGGCTAAATGTCAACATTGTAGGTATCAATAATTCTAAGGGATTTTCAAGAGAAATTATCTCTTCAGTAGACTGTGATGATTACTTTCCTTAAACTAGTTATCTCCTGTGAAGTTTTTTTTTCTGTACTACCTCTTATTTTCCCTTATTTTAATTGTTTTTGGTCCCTTTCTTCTGTTCCTTTTTTTCTTGCTGCTCATATTTGTTTTGTTATCTGTTTTGCTTCAACCACAAGTTTGCAACTCATCGTTCTTTGAAAAAGATGCGCACACTGTCTTAAGATAGTTGCTTGGTAAGACTATTTGGAAACATAGTGAAGTTATAATGGTGGACTTTAGTTAATTTAATATTGACTGGAATACAAATAGTGTATAGGACAGAAAGGGTAAGAATTTCTGAAGTGTATTCAGAAAATCTTTCTACATCAACATGTTTACTGTCCAATAAGGACGGAGGCCTTGGATCAGCATTGAAAAAATTAGGTAACATTGGGGCACTATTTTTAGACAGAAGATCATGATATCGTAACGCAAAAGACAGGGAGCAGTCCAGACTTCAATTAGTTTACAAAGAGTGATTTCAGTGTGTGGAAAACAGACCTGTCATGGGTAAATTGGAATCAAAAGTTGATGGGGAAAATTGTAACTGAAAAATAGCCTGTCTTTAAAGAGAACGTAGTTGAGATACATTCCCATGACCAAGAAAAGTAGGGCAAACAAAGTCAGGGCTTCAAGGATGACGGAAGATGAATAAAGAAAATATTTTGATCAAATTCACCACTAATCCACCAGAAATTTCCAAATACCAAATGATCAGATAAGACAACTGTAAAGTCCAAAAACTGCTTTACTGTATCAATCAGTAAGATATACTTGCCTAGGCATTTGTAATTCATTACCCCAAATGTGCTAATCAGCTTTTCTTTTGCCCTGATCAAAAGTGAAAAACATTCTCTTTGAATTCTGTTTATTTTTCAGAGTTCAACTTTGGTCTGAAAGTCCATTTATAATACCGTTTCTCCTGTGACAATATATGCTACTCCAATACTGATTTAAATTAATCTCCAGTTTCTAACATGAACACTGACCAGCTTATGACCACAATACTTGACACCAGTGCCATACAGCTCATGTTCTCCAGAAACGCCCCTAGTTGCAAGGAGAATAAATAATCCATTATACGTCTGGGCTTTTTGTTTTACAGTTGTGGTATGTATATTAGGGAACTTCCTTATGCTGGTTATAAAGTACTAAATTTGTCACTGCATTAAGATGCACTTACAAAATGTTTACTCTTGGCATTCCCCTTCATGTAACTTCAGTTTGCACTTCAGAAGAATATGGTAGAATGGAAAAAAAATCTTACTGCTTAGCTAACCTCTGGCTTTGACATGTATTTTGCGGTGGTAAAGAACTTCCTTTTTTGTTGCTTAGTTGAAACCTCTGAACCTTTTATTAACCTGCAATTTGAATTTCATTAGTAGTATTGGTTAGGGAGTCTGTGTCATCCTGCCCCATCGCTCTTTGCTATATGTACAATCTAAAGATAGCTTTGCATACTGCCTCTGCAGGTAATTGATGTCTTTTAACTCTGATGGCCTTTATACACATTTTTAGTAAAATAACTCTTGAAGTTATCTTGGGGGAATCCCAGTTTAGCAGCAAATCACATGCACTACATCCTACAGAAAAATATGTAGATTTGCCACAATATATGGGGGCTTGTCCAGTACCTTTCAATGCAGTAAGGGAAATAGTTATGTCATCCTGACTGTCAAATTGGAAAATTGCATTCATTTTCACTGAACAAATCATTAACAAAGAGCGAAAGACTTATTTGTTTAGAGCCTTTCAGAACCAACATGTGTTTCAGTGCACTCTACAGCCAATGAAACACCTTGAAATGTGGTTACCAGTTATAATATAAAAATGTTTAAGCCAAATTGTACAATGCAAACTCTCTCAAACTGAATTTATAAACTGAAAGTACGATGGATGCTGGAAATCAGAAACAAAAACAGAAATTGGTGGAAAATCTCAGCCGGTCTGGCAGCGTCAGTATAGAAAAATCATAATTAACGTTTCTGCTCCAGTGACCCTCCAGAACTGATGGCAACTGGGAAAAGGTTAGTTTTTATGCAGAAGATAGGGTAGGGGGACGGGTGAGGAGTAAACGATAGAGCCCAAAGAGAGAGAAGAATAGTTGGAGAAACAAAAGAGTAGGTAACGGTTAGCCTAGAAGAATGAATGGCTGCTAATGGGGACTATTAGTGGCTAACAATGAGTTGTGTGCAATAGCAGAACATACGATAACAAAGCCTGATGTGTGGGGTTTGGAGGGTAAGGACTTGGGAGAAGGTGCTCCAAGACTTAAAATTGTTGAATTCGATATTGAGTCCAGAAGGCTGTAGAGTTCCCAAGTGGAAAATGAGCTGCTGTTCTTCCAGCTTGTGCTGAGCTTTGCTGGAACACTGCAGCAAGCCTGAGACAGATGTTGGAAAGGGAACAGGGTGGCATGTTGAAGTGGCAGGCAACTGGAAGCTCAGGGTCTTTTTTTGTGGACAGAATGTAGGTGTTCTGCTAAGTGTTCACCCAATCTACGCTTTGTTTCCCTAACGTAGAGGAGACCATATTGTGAGCAGTGAACGCAGTAAACGAGATTGAGTGAAGAGCAGGTAAAGTGCTGCTTCACCTGGGAAGTGTGTTAGGGCCCTTGGACAGACGAAGTAAACAGGCAGATGTTACATCTTCTGCTCTTCTGAGGGTTAGTGTGGGCTTGTTGGGCCGAATGGTCTGATTCCACAATATGATACCTGTATTCTGTCATGACTCTTACTCTTTACTCTTAAAGGAAGCATTGAATAACGCGAAAGAGGGATAATTGATTTCCTAGATATAACATTAGCTCACTTGCAGGAGATGTCCGTGTGAACTGAGGTTGCAATGGGGATGAAAAGCAGAGAAGCAAAACAGTATACAGAAAGTTAATTGTAGTGCTGGAGCGTTGTAGGCTGTTTAGAGCGCACAATTGGCGTGAGTTGTGGTGTTTGGCACTCTAGAATAGATCCTGATGTTGAAGCAGGTTGCTAAAAAAATCTACCAGAAATTGTTCCTGTGCGTGTTTTGCAGTAGAAAGGACAGATCAGTGAAGATAAGAAGAGCAGGAGATTTTGGATGAGACAAAAACTCGTCACTAGTACGTGGCCTTGCCTGCTAAGGAATGATCTGATGTAGAGTGAATCCCAAAGTGACTCAACAAAGACTTGTTAAAATATTTAGAACAAACTAGAATGGTTTTTAGATTCTACTTGTTTCAGAAAAATGTAAAGCACTCTGTGAAAGTTAGAAATTGAGTTGCATTTGTGTTTGTGTCTGTATTAAAATGAATTATGTTCTTAATTCTAGCCTGAATGAGATGGTCTGATTGTGTTGCTCTGCCTTTTAGAATTGCAAGGAAAATATGGTGGGTAGCCCACGTAGTTTTCTGTGTGTGGATCAGGGTAATTGTCGTCTTGTGGCATGCCGCCCATTTCACTTTGTAGAAGAGACATGGTCAGTTTATGGAAACTTTCCTTTTTCCTCTGAACAATTTGACTTAATGGAAACTATGTTTGTAACATAGTTTTTTGAAACTTTACAGAGAGCTGGTGGTGGATATACTTCTGGATGATGGGTTCCTTATTCCAACGGAGGAGCAGCTGAAATTTTTAAACATTGACTGCCCAGGTAACACAATAGATTTAATTGCATATTATGCTAAAATAGGAGCACAATATTACATTAAGGCGAAATATGCACTAAATTCTATCAGAAATTAATTGATGAATGGTGAGCTACAAGTTTAAATAGCTATCTAGGAATATGATGTTTTGCCAGCAATGGAAATGCGAATTAAATGGTGAAGACCGGGTGCTTTATAAGTAAGCGATACAAAATGAAGGATAGAGACAAGACCAGACCAATTTGGTTAGCATTGTGAAAGAGTAAAGTATGTTTTAACCATTTTTGGGGTTTATTTAGCCTCAAATATAATGAGAGAGCGCAGAATAGGGGAGCAGTCAACAGGGAAGGCACAAATATTGAGTTGTGCTATTGATTAACTTACATAAAAAGGAGACAGAAGAATTTTGGAACTTTGTTTAGCAGAACTTCCGAGACCAGTGTGTTCTTACATAATCTATTGAGGAGTTATTGCTGCATCTGATGCTGGGGTGTGGTGGGCCAAATGCCCATAGAGGTTAAGCATGATCATTGTCTAATAAGATTTAGGTTCGCAGTATAGTAGATCAAGAAACTACCTAAACCAATCTTTTGTAAGAGAACAGGCTTCAAGGTAATGAGAAGGGCTGTCTCCAAGGTAGACATGGGACCAAAGCCTGATAGGAAATGCTGTAACTGAATGATGGGTGATCTTTTAAGGGGAAGGTGTTTCTTGTTGGAATGTATCTAAAGGGGTGAGCCAAAACCAAGGCTCCTTGGATAGCATGTTGGATGTGATGAAACAAAAAAATGTACGTGATGCATGCCAGCTATGTTCTTCAGCCAAAAAACAAATAAAATGCAGTGAGTTGACTGTGGAAATGAAGAGGAAGTTAAACAAAAGTGAAATACTACAGATACTGTAAATCTATAACAAATGCAGAATGCTGAAGGAACTCCTGTTTTGGTTTGATTTATTAGGATCACATGTAACCAGATACTGTGAAAAGTATTTTTGCCTACTGTGCAGACGAATCCTACCTTACACAAGTACATCAGGGTAACAGAACAGAATGCAGGCCACATCTGGTTGAAGTAGAGACAATGATTCTTGAAGGAAATTAGATGACGGAAGTAAACATTTGGGTTCCGGGGTAGAACAGGGAATGGAATTGATTTGAATTATTCTACAGAATGCTGACACCAACTCAGTGGTCTGAATTACTTTAGTGGCTGCCCCCACTTGGGTTCAGTGGGTGGAGGTATGATACAATGTCATTAACATGTATGCTGTTTAGAAGAAGACAGTCTGTGCTGTTCTTTGCTAATTACTATTACTGATGAGCTTAAAGTTCTGAACTACGGAGAAGAAAACCAATCAGGTCTTCTGCTCCTGATCTTTGTCTAATAATATTTCTTGAAAATGTGAACCTGCATGTCCATTACGTTTAGGTTGGAGCTCTGTTTTTTTTCCATAACGTACCAACTACAAAGGTTTTAAAGACTGATTGATTATTTGGTTCAGTACTATAGGATGACGTGCACAGGGAACAAAATTTCATGAACAGATTTCGGTGTGGTTTGTTGGTAATGTAATAGGGTTGTGTTGGCAAAACTTTCTTGCTTTTCTTATGTTAAATTGTTTGGCTTGTAAAATGTCTATTATGTAAATTGTTCAGAATTGAATAAATCTTCTTGGTGCTTAAACTTTTTCCATGTCTTGAAATGAGTAATACATAAATGCACAGATTATTTCTATAAGTCATTTATTTCATGTCCTTTACATTATGATAGAATATTTTGTGGTACTTTCAAAGAATTCCCCTAAATTTATACAAACCCAGTGTTAGAATGAAGAGCAGGAAAACAGTGCAAAATTAAGATGTGCCTCATTTTATATTTCTTTAATCTATACATTTAAGTTTATGACTTTTCAATTTTATGTCACTGTAACAATGTTTTTTGTTGAAGGAGAGTTTGTAGATTTGTCAAATCCTGGAATTCCTCGAACGTTCTGTCGCTTCTGGCAGCCTCTTTTTAAGTGCCTCCACACTCGATATTTCACACCAGTGCTGCTAGAAAAGCTGTTTGCTGAACTGAAGCTTTGCTGTGACACCTCAGGCCTGAGGATACAGTATGTTACGGGCTGGATCACAGAGATACTTGCAGCCAATGCAAAAGCAGGTAATTTACTTACTGTTTCTAAATTGCAATAGAACGTGGTTTCTTCTTTCTTGTTCTGTTCATCACCAGTCACCCTTCCCCACATTTCTGCATTCCCCTCCAAGCATCCAGTTGCTCATTCAAGTGTCTTTACCTTTTAATTGATTCATACAATCAGAAAATTCAGGATTGAATTCCAATCTCTGCTGAGTTACTGAATCTTCAATGTAGTGGTCTGTTACAATTGGGATCTATGTTCCTTGGCTAGAGAAGGGCAATTGGGTCATGTTTGCTATTCAGTAACTTTAGCTGGAAAATGTCTGTATAGGCATCATCTAAGAACAGAATTTTCTTAGTCTGTGATGCCACCAAGAACAATCAATTAATGAGCTTACTCATGAATAATGGCTACTTGGCCGAAGTGCTGAACTTTTTGCCGTAACCTTAGAAAATTTCTTTATCGTAGTGGCATTATGGATAAGGAGGAAGCAGAAATTGCGCAACTATCAGTTTTCGTATTGCTTGAGTTAATTGACTCAATTTTTGGAATGATTTGGAGTTGATTAACATTAGGAATTAATTCCTGACTGCATTTTCTTTTGATACAGGCAGTATCAATAGGGACCGGAAAGAAAATAGTCAAATAATATATCGAATTTTTTGTGGGAGAATGTCATTTTAGAGACGTCTGTGTTTCGCATGAAGCTAAATAGCAGGGAAATGGTTTTTGATTTTTTTGTGCTGTCCAAGTTTATATGTAGTTACGGTTAAATTGTGACATCCAAGTTGCTTTATTATTGTTAGAATACATTAAGTGTATATAAACTTGAAATTTAAAATGACTTGCTCACAGTGTGAAAATCCTAGGGCTTTTGAATACTCTGAACAATAATTCTACAGGATTGAAGCTTCAACTAGGCCATTTGTTACCACAGGGAATCTTATGATTTGTAAAGTGGAAGGACTAACAAGAGATTGAACTGCTGAGCACATAATAGAGAACACACAGTACTTTGGTGTCAAATTACACTGGAAAATAGCTGCACTAGAAACTTGAACATATCTCCGAGGCAACTTGCATGGCGTGTTAATGTTTTGAAATATAAGTAATGCTCGCTTCCCTTTTCTAACAACTTGCAAATGTAAAGTAATACATTTGCTCACAAAAGCGAGGATTTCCACTTGATATCTCAGTTTTAACGGGAAAATGTTCTAGAGGTTTATGGTTTTCTTTTAAAAGTTTAAGGAATTCATTCTGTTCAATTTATATTTTTAATGTCTTTGTAGGAAAAAGATTGAAAGGTTTACCACGCAGCCAGAAAATAAAAAGAAGCATGTGGCAGTTGTTTTTATTTCAATGTCCACTGGACTGGCACGATCTTCTAGAAAGCTGTCTTGCTGCACCATGCCAGGCTACACCTCATCTTCTTCAGCAGTCAGTATAACTTGCTCTTGATTCCTGTGTGTAACAAATAATGGTGATGCACCAGTGAGTTCCTGTCGCAGGCAAATTTAAATCCAAACTAATAATACAAAAGGAGATTATCCTGAATGTAGAAGGGATACAAAAATATTAAGGGGAAGAGGGAACAGAAGAGTAAGGTGACAGCCTGGAATGCAAGTTGAAGGGAGTTTGTAAAGCACTTTTTAAAAATTCAAAGAAGTAACAGAAGGACATAATGATGAGGGAAAGAAAGAATGAGTACTTGGCTGAGATACATAATCAATGCTTTGCATAAAACACTCTGGTAATGAGAATAAAAGAGTACAAGGAAAGGAATTGGAATTGAATAGGTAGAACAATTGTTAAGGAAATAGTACTGAAAAAGATGATGGCTCTCTGAAGTGAAAAATATACTTGCTCTGATTGAAGCTTTGTAAAATGCTGAGGGGCAACAGGATGAAATAACAAAAAAAAGTTGTTTTATCTTCAGGATGTGGGACTTGCTGGTTATTGTCTTTGAGAGGTGACTTAAAATCTTTCAAATGTCCGTTTGCACGTGGAAGTTATGCTGGAGAGCTGGTTGGTTACCAATTGAATAGCTTTGTTCAAAAATGTAGAAGGTGATAAACAGTAGGCTGGGTATTGTTAAATACCCCGACCAGGTATATGTAAAATAGGGTGGGTGTCTAGCCACTTTTACACTCAGTTGTGAACTTGACCCCTTAATATTGAGGATGGGTGGGGACTGCCCACCATATGTAAATAATAATTAAGGATCCATTGAGCTTCTTAAAAGTCCAGTTGACGTACAAGGAAGCCAGTTGGCTGAGGTACCCTGTTTCGTTTTCAAAGTTTTAAAAATAGAGTCATAGAGATGTACAGCACAGAAACAGATCCTTTGGTCCAACTCATCCATGCCTACCAGATATCCTAAATAAGTCTAGTCCCATTTGCCAGCATTTGGTCCGTATCCGTCTAAACCATTCCTATTCATATACCCATCTAGATGCCTTTTAAATATTGTAATTGTATCAGCCTCCACCACTTCGTCTGGCAGCTCGTTCCATACTTGCACCATCTTCTGCGTGAAGAAGTTGCCTCTTAAGTCCCTCTCATGTTAAACCTATGCCCTTTAGTCTTGGACTCTCCCAACCCAGGAAAATACCTTGTCTATTTACCCTATCCATGCCCCTCATGATTTTATAAACCTCTATATGGTCACCTCTTGGCCTCTGATGCTCCAGGGAAAATACCCGAGGTCTATTCACCCTCTCCCTATAGCTCAAATTCTCCAAACCTGGCAACATCCTTGTAAATCTTTTCTGAACCCTTTCAAGTTTTACAACTCGCTCCCTAAAGCAGGGAGACCGGAATTGCATGCAGTATTCCAATAGTGGGCTAACCAATGTCCTTTACAGCTGCAACATTACTTCCCAACTCCTACATTCAATGCAAGCTTACTAAATGCCGCCTTCACTATCCTGTCTACCTGCTGCTCCATTTACAAGGAACTGTGAACCTGCACTTCAAGGTCTCTTTGTTCAGCAACACTCCCCAGGACCTTACCATTAACTGTATAAGTCCTGCCCTGATTTGCCTTTCCAAAATGCAGCACCTCACATTTATCTAAATTAAACTCCATCTGCCACTCCTCATTCCATTGGCCTATCTGATCAAGATCCCATTGTACTCTGAGCCACTTTTGCTGTCCACTGCACCTCCAATTTTGGTGTCATCTGCAAACGTACTAACCATACCTCCTGTGTTAGCACCCAAATCATTTATATAAATGACAGAAAGCAGTAGACCCAGCACCGAGCCTTGTGGCACACCACTGGTCACAGGCCTCCAAAAAAGCAAACCTCTACCACCACCCTCTGTCTTCTACCTGTGAGCCAGTTCTATATCCAAATAGCTAGTTCTCCCTCTGTTTCATGTGATCTAACCTTGCTAACCAGTCTACCATGAGGAACCTTGTCAAATGCTTTACTGAAGTCCATATCAATCCCATTGACCGTTCTGCCTCGTCAATTCTCTTTGTTATTTCTTCCAAAAACTCAATTAAATTAGTAAGACGTGACTTCTCATGCACAAAACCATTTTGACTATCCCTAACCAGTCCTTGCCTTTCCAACCTGTCCCTCAGGATTCTCTCCAACAACTTACTCACCACTGACGTCAGGCTCACCAGTCTATAGTTTGTAGGCTTTTCCTTACCACCTTTCTTAAATAGTGGCACCACGTTAGGGGTACTATGTTTGAAAGGTTGGAGGGTCATTTACCCATTAGAGGCACCCCAGAGAAGATCGACTCCTTTCCTTACTATCCACCAGTACTTCAAAATACTTCAAGGTGGCACAGTGGTTAGCACTGCTGCCTCACAACGCCAGGGACCTGGGTTCGATTCCTGCCTCGGGCGACTGTGTGGAGTTTGCACATTCTCCCCGTGTCAGCATGGGTTTCCTCCGGGTGCTCCGGTTTCCTCCCACAGTCCAAAGGTGTGCAGGTTAGGGTGGATTGGCCAGGCTAAATTGCCTGTAGTGTTCAGGGAGGTGTAGATTAGGTGGGTTATAGGGGGATGGGTCTGGGTGGGATGCTCTGAGGTTTGGTGTGGACTTGTTTGGCCGAAGGACCTGTTTCCACATTGTAGGGATTCTATGATGATGAAAATAACCCAATACCTCCTCTTTTAGGAGGCCAATCTCTCCTGATCCAATACTGCCTTTCTTCTCTCTAGGTTCCATAGCTGTTGCCTTCATGAGCTTGCCTGCAGTCCTGGCAGTGCCTACTACTAAATTCTGTAGCTGCCAGAACTTTTGGAGCTGCCGGTCAATCTTTGACAGCTGTCTCCGAACTGTCAGATCTTCTGCCAATTGAGGGATGGAAATCCCACTTTCAACCTGTAGATACTGCCCACAGCATGTTGTAGGTGGTAGTGAAATTTTACTTCACCGGTCGGGGAGATGAGCAGTACAAAGACCCCCAATGTTTTAATTAAATGTTAAATGCAAATTTAGGAGTACTTTTAAAAAAAAAAGACATTGATAAAAGAAACGCAGAAGATAAACTTTCAAAAGTTGTTTGCTAAAATGCCTCAGATGCCATTTTGTTGTCAGCAAGAGCATGTTCAACTATTGCACCTTTCTTGAATTTAAATAAAATATAGGAGGCAAGCTCACCAGTGCTTTCTTCACAGCAATATCTTGACCAATAGTTAACACCCCTTTCTCATGAAGTATGAATTGTGGCTTTTTTGAAATAGTTATTCTTGCATGTGTCCTGATGAGTGCAAGGTGAACAGCTTTGACAACTCATTGTTCTTTTCAGTAGTACTTGAGTTCTGTATTACCAATCAACTAAATTAAAAGAGGATCTGAGAGAGATGCTTGAAATTGGGGATTTTGATTTAGTAAATAGGGAAAGAGATGTTTTTCTTGTTCTTGAGAATTGGAGGATGTCAGTTTTCAATTTTAAAGCGAAAGGAGCCAGGTGAAATTTTTGGGGGGAGTAATGGTGTAGTCAGAAGGGAACAAGTGTAGTTTATTTTAGAGGAGTTAGTTAGCACAATGTGTTGAATTGCCTTCTGTGGTTAATATTAGGTGTAAAATTGATTAATATAGTGTTACACATCAAAGCAATCCTTATTATGACAGGTTTTACTTGAAAGTAAGTCTTGGTTTATGACATTTTATATTGTGATATCCCTTTCCTTGGAAACATAAATATTTTAACTCTTTCCTTGTTTTATGGTTCCAATCTTACTCATGAGTTTATATTCCTTATTAGCAATTTGTCTGACTTCTGTTATTGACTGGAACTCTTGTAGAACAGATCAACAAAGGTCTGCTGGATTTTGAGCTACGTATCTTTTTATACAAAATACAGATGCAACCTAAATAAAACCTGACTTTTTTATTGTGCAATTTCAGGATTTTAACTGATATGGACTCTCCATTACCCATTTCCACACAACAGAAACTGCTCCAGCTGTGTTCTATATATATTCAGGAGCCAGGATCTTTCAGTGTTTCTGACTTTCCTGTTGGCCATGGCCAGTTACCAGTGTACACTGTGGAAAATCTCCAACTGAAGAGTGGAATTGAGTCTCCAAATGAGTTGACTGATATGGCGCACATGGAGTTTAGAAAGAACATTGAGCCATTGATGATCCCCACCTCTGGTGAGGAAATGGCACAAACAGTCAATCTTGAGATGTTGTCTGAAAAGATTCAAGCACTGGAGGGGTCAGTGTGGCAGATATGCACAGGTATGCTAGTATTTCGAAAAACTTCTATTCAAGTTAATGCTGATATTTAAAATGGTTCCACTTTTTGTAGCTTTTACACTTACACATTCTGGTGAAACAAGTTTAGGTACCTAGCTACTGCATTAAAAATTCTTTGGTTGAGTATTGTATGGAATATATGATGCAAACTGTCAGCATCAATCTCCCAAGAGCAGTTCTACTGTTTTTTTGTAGTTTCCATGTCAGTAGCCTCTGAGATTGAGATGTCCCAGAGGCACATTTTTCAGAAAATGATTGCTGAATTTATTCAGTTTAAATAATTAATAACTGCAGTAAAGTAAGTCACAATGGAATTTTATGTAAACATTTAAGCAGTGTTTCCAAAGAAAATTAAATTCAAGTGATGTTGACATGTTCTTACTTGATACCAATTTAATAATTTCACCAACTAATGAGCCATTGACTTAATTGCTGGATTTAAAACTTAAATCTATGTAGTGAAAAGAGACCAATTTCATCCTAATCATAGGTTATGTTCTTTTAGCAAATACAGTTTGTTGCTGTAACAAGTCTGTTGTTGGAAATGACTCTATTTTGACGCTGATTTAAATGGAAATCAGAAGTGTAAATTCTTCCTTGCAAGGCTAATCAAAATATATGGCCAACTAAATTAGACACTTTATTTCACAAATAATTACTTCAGTAATTATGTTGAAGCTTTTTTTAACACTGGGAGCAAACAGACAACACAAGATTTCATTAAAAGGAAATAAGCCTCCCTATTTATATCATTTGAAATATTAATTTGACTTCTCCCATGCTGAATGAGTAAAAGATACTGCACGGTATAGTATTAAAATCATAAACTGAGCTAGACCTTCAAGTATTTTTGATTTGGGCTGAATTCAGTGATTTTAGACAGGACAGCTATCTGGCACTGTGCTTGTCCAGTGGATTAGGGCACTTTTTGGATTAGAAGGAAAGACATCACCTAGGCCTTCTGATTCTGATTGTCTGCTGACTGACACCAGAATCTGTGTATGTCAGATGAAGGAGGACAGGATTGAATTGGCTGTGATACTATTTGTGGTCAGGTGGTCTGCCAATATCAACTGCTTTTGCACATGAAGGATGTGACAGTATTGAGAAAATCTTTGGAACTGTTCTCAACTTAGAGTAATTTCTTTTGGCGTGTTGGGAAGGGATGAGCTGAATTGTTTTGCTTCTAATTGGAAATCACTATTCCTTTTCTCATTGATCTTTTTTCGTGGTTTTTGGTGAATCTCGGGAGAGATATGTTAATATTCTGGGGCATGTCAATATAAAAAAGGTGTTGGGTGTTTTTAAAAAGCATTAAGGTATACAAGTCCCCAGGTCTGATTGGATCTAGTCCCGATTGCTGAGGGCAGCAGGTGGCGAAATTGCTGGGGCCTTGTATGAATTCTTTGTATCTTGTTTAGTCATAGGAGAGGTCCCAGAGGACTGGAGAAAAGCCAGCATTCTTCCCTTGTTTAAGAAAGGCAACAGGGATAATCTGGGAAATTACAGGCCAGTGAGCCGTATGTTAATGGTAGGGAAATTATCGGAGAAGATTCTTAGCGATAGGGTTTGCTCACATTTGGAAAAATATAGACTTAATAGTGAAAAGCAGCATAGCTTTGTGTGGGAAGGTTATGTCGCAGAAACTTGACTGGGTTTTTTGAGGAAGCAATAAAGATGCTTGATGAGGGCGGGGCAGTAAATGTTGTCTATGTAGTGCTTGACCAGATCTTTCATGGCAGGCTGATGCAAAAGTTAAAGTCAGATGAAATTCGCGGTGAGCTGGCAATATGGATACACCATTGGCTTAGTCATAGAAGAGCGAGTATCAGTGGAAGAGTGTTTTTCTGACTAGAGATCTGTGACAAGCGGTGTTCCACAGGAACAAAAACAGGACAGTTCTGAAGAAGGGCCATTGGATCAGAAAAATTAATTCTGCTATCTCTCCATGGATGCTACCAGACTGCTGAGTTTTTCCAGCAATTTCTGTCTTGTTTCTTATTTCCAACATCTGCAGTTCTTTGGCTTTTTTGTTTGGTATTCCATAGGGATCAGTGCTGGGACCCCTGCTGTATGTAATAAACATAAATGATTTGGAGGAGAATGTAGGTGGCCTGATTAGTAAGTTTGTGGATGACCCAAAGATTGTGGGAGCTGCAAATAATGAGGAGATTTGCCAGAGGATACATCGGGATGTAGAGCGGCTGGAAGCTTGGGCGCAAAATGGCAAAAGGAGTTTAATCCAGACAAATGCAAGATGATGCATTTTGGAAGATCTAATGCAGGGTGGAAGTCTGCAGTAAATGGCAGAACCCTTAGAAGCTTCAATACACAGATCTAGGCACACAGGTCAAAAGTTCCTTGAAAGTGGCAACGCAAGTGGATAAGGTTGTCAGGGAGGCATGTATTGTGCTTGCCTTCATTGGTCAGGACATAGAATATAAAAGTTGCATATAAAAGTCATGTTGCAATTGTCTAGAATGTTAATTAGGCCAGGTTTGGAATATTGTATACCATTCTGATCAACACTCTCTCTACGCAAAGGGTGTGGCTTTTGCGAGGGTAACAGTTTACCAGGATGTTGCCTGGTTTGGAGGATATTTCACTGAGGAGAGATTGGTCAAACTTGGGTTGTTTTCTCTTGAATGTTGACGTAAGAGGAGCGACCGTACAAAATTTAGAAGTGTGGATAGTCGATGTGTTTTTCCGAGGGTAGAAGTGTCAATTACTAGGGGAGATAGGTTTAAGGTAAAAGGGGCAATGTTTAGAGGAAATGCGAAAGGCAAGATTTTTAGAGGGTGCTAAGTGCCTGGAATGTGCTGCCAGAGGTGGTGTTGGAGGCAGATTCAATAGCAACATTTAAGAGGCATCTCAACAGGTATATGAATAGGGGGATATGGACTGCGTGGAGGCAAAATATTTTTAATTTAGAAAGACATGTGTCAGCACAGTCTTGGTGGCCAACCTCCTAAATTCTCATCCAAATCGTTTATATAAATGACAAAATAAAGTGGACCCAGCACAGATTCCTGCAGATCATCGCTGGTCACAGGCCCCCAGTCCAAAAACAACCCTCCACCACCACCCTCTGTTTCCTACCATCAAGCCAATGTTGTATCCAATTGGCAAGCTTTCCCTGTTTCTCATATGATCTAACTGTACTAATTAATCAACTGTGCAGAACCTTGTCGAAGGCTTTGCTAAACTCCATTGAGACAAGATCCACTGCTCTGCCCTCATCAATCTTTTTGTTACATCCTCAAAAAACTCGATTGAGTTTGTGAAACATGAGTTTCCATGCACATAGCCATGCTGACTATCCCTAATCAGTCCTTGCCTCAAATGAATGTAAATCCTATCTCTCAGAATCCCCATCACTGGTGTCAGACTGTCACCAGTCTATAGTTCCCAGGCTTCTCCTTACAGCCTTTCTTAAATAAAGGCATAACATTAACCACTCTCCGGTCCTCCAACACCTCACCCATAGCTATAGATGATACAAATATTTCTGTTAGGGGCCCTACAGTTTCTTCCCTAACTTCCCACCACATGGGATACACTTAATCACGTTCTGGAGATTAATCCACTCATGTCTTTTAAGACCTCGAGCGCTACCACTTCTGTAATGTTGACTGTTTTCAAGACGTTAACATTTATTTCCTGGTTCTCTAGCCTCCATTTCTTTCTCCACAGTGAAAACTGCGAAGTATTCATTTAATAGCTCTCCCATCTCCTGTCATTCCCCACATAGACAACCTAGTTGATCTTTAAAGAGCTGTGCTCTCTCCCTAGTTGCTCTTTTTTAAAAACTTGTAGAATCTCTTTGGACTATCCTTTACCTTATCTGCTAAGGCTTTTTCGAATCCTTTTTTCTCTCCTGATTTCCTCAATTTCCTCTGCTGTATTGTTCTTTGTTTAGACTGAGGGGCTAGTAATTCGCTAAGTTGATTTTTGTCCTTGTGGATGTGATACCTGGGCAATGTTGCATCTTGCTGGGCAGATGGCAGTGTTGCAGCTATACTGGAACAGCTTGGCTAGGGGCGTGTCTATTTCTGGGACCCAAGTCTTCAGTGCTATTGCTGGAATGTTAGGGTTCAGAGCCTTCAGCTGTTTCTTGATGTCGCGTGGAGTGAATTGAAATGACTGAAGATTGGCATCTATGATGCTGGGGACTTCAGGCGGAGGCCACAATGGCTCATCCACTCAGTACTTTTGGCTGAAGATAGTTGCAAATGCTTCGGCCTTGTCTTTTTTGCACTGTTGTGCTGGGTTTCTTCTTTTTTGACCATGGGGATATTTGTGGAGTCACCACTTCCTGTCATTTGTTTAATAGCCTATGAGACTCATCTTTGGATATGGTAGGATTGCAGAGCTTAAATCTGATCCATTAGATTGCTTAGGTCTGTTTATCACGTGCTGTTTCTGCTGTTTGGCATGCAAGCAGTCCTATGTTGTAGGTTCATCATTTCAACACCTAATATTTGGATATGCTTGGTACTGCTCCTGGAAAGCCTTCCTGCACTCTTTTTACTGAACCAGTGTTTATGCCCAGGTTGATGCTAATGAAAAATTAGGGGATGTCTAGGTCCTTAATGTTAAAGATTGAATTGAATATAATGCTGCAGCTGATGGGCATCCTTGACGTTGTGTACCAGTTTTGATTTGGTAGATGTATTTGAAATCTATCCCATTTAGCAGGGTGGTAGTGCTACAGAACTTGTTGGAGGGTTTTCAATGTGAAGATGAATTTTGACTTCACACTTCTAATTGCATGAGTCCAGAAAGCAGTTTGTGATATCAGACAGAGAACCAATTCTTGTTTCGAGTTGAATGTGTTTGGCCCTGTCATTTAGAGGTAGAGATACCATAATGGCCTGACCCTATAGAGGGTAGGGAATTTAGTAAAGAAACGTTATGCTAGATCCACACATGGATGAGATCTTTAACGCTTTTATTGGTCATTATTTGCTTATTGCACTTTAAGCCCTGAAGAGAGGGAGGGAGACCTACAGGATGGATATGAATCAGTCACAATCCCCTCTGATGTGTAGTGACTTTCTAGAAATTATGTCTTTTGATATATGGTGATAAGGAGGAGGGCAGGAGTTGGTTAGCTCAGTAGACTGGATGGCTGGTCTATAACACACTGTTAGATCAATTGTGTGGGTTCGATTCCCATGCTAGAAGATGTTACCACAAAGGTTCTGCCTCCTCGGTCTCCCTCCTTGTCTGAGGAGTGCTGATCTTCAAGTCAAACTCACATCAGTCATGTCTCTCTAATGAGTGACTAACTGGTCCTTTTACATTACGAAGATCATGCCCAATCAAAGAGGATGATCCACTGCCTGAATGAAAATTAACTCCTTTGCAGAATACCACAAGTTTATCTAACATTGTGATAGAATGGTCAAGTAAGAGTTGGTGTATTCAAAGACAAAATGAACGTCTCCCCAGGGGAAGTATCTTTAATTCCAAGCTTTTAATGTGAAGTTTTCTGTCATTGGTATTTTTTTCCAGTTCTGTGAAATATTTGTGCAATTGAAGAGTGAAATCCTATAGTAAAGTTACGTTTTTCTTTGTAGATCAAATTGCATGGAAGGATTACCCACTAGGTAAAATACCAGGTCAAAAAGAAGACCCAGATTGCCTCTTGGTGGACAATTACACCTTGATGCCTGTATTGCATCAGCCAATAACAGAGGACAACTTAGATGATTTTAATCCTGCATTAAGGTAAAAGGTCAAATTTCATTACAATTGTCATTAAGCAACTTGGAAATCTGTGGCCAGAAACATGGTATAATAACTGTGGGCAGCTTAAAGACATACCTGCTGGTAAATGTGCAGTATTTTGTTTGAACATGATGGTCCCTTGTTGTATTGGTAGCTAAAATAACTGAAACCACTAATTTGGGGCCCTCATGTAGCACAGTGGAAGTGTCCCTATGCCTGAATGGGGAGGCCCGGGTTCAAGTCCCACCTGCTCCAGAGGTGTGTAATAACGTCGCTGAACAGGTTGGTTAGAAAAATAATTATTTCATAATCTGACAGAGGTATTTATTATGCAAAATCTCATTATAACATTTCTAAACCTTACAGCAAATTCTCTGTATCTGTGCAATCAGGAATTGTGAATTCGCCTGTCTGTTGCAAAAATAAAAGTAACAATAAAAATCAATGTCTGTGGGCAAAAATCATGTATCCGCAATATTTGTAACCATTTTAACCTATTTTTAACGAGCTCTATACTTACAAATTTCATCATTCACAGCGATTCTCAGGAACAGAACCCTCAAGGATATGGAGGAATGACTGCATCTTGTGACAGTTTGTGACATTGTTTCAATATCAGCACAAAATTGTCTCCTCACACTTTTTGTCTTCAATTTATGCATCAGTAATATAGTTAAAGTAAATAATTGTCAAATTAGTGTAAGCAAATTGTTCAATTTCCGTGTTTCTTGGCATGTTGTTGGGTGCCATAGGGCTATAGATGCTGTTGAATTGATATTCCGAGTGAGTTAATGTATTTGGGAGAACTAAAGAGCAAATTGATGATGCATTTCCTGCACTTCAGTACTTGCAGCATTTTTGTTATAGTCTTCTGTTTTTAACTCCAATATTTTCATTATACTCAATGAGAAACATTACCCCAGTCAGTTACGACTTGCTTCCTGTGAGTGTACCTCCTATAGCCCATAAAGTTAGCCTATCATGCTGGATCATTCCAAGTCCTGTTTCCATGTCTTCGACTTTTCAAGGTTAAATGCTGTTAGACTGTAGGCTTGAGCTTTAAATAATGGAACAAATTTATTAATTTTAAAATCAGTAGAAAAGTGTTACAGACAGTAAAATTATGTTTTTGGACTTGAGAGTGGGCGTCACTGGCTGAGCCAGCATTTTTATTGCCTGTCCCTAGTTGGCCTCGAAAGTGGCAGTGAGCTGCCTTCTGGAACTGCTGCAGTCTATTTGCTATAGGTAAAGCCACAACCCCTAAGGGAGGGAATTCCAGGACTTTGACCCAGTGACAATGAAGGAATGTCAATATATTTCCAAGTCAGGCTGGTAAGTGGCTCAGAGTGGAAATTACAGGTGGTGGTCTTCCCATGTATCCCCTGCTTTTGTCTTTCTCGTTGGCAGATGGGTTTGGAAGGTGCTGTCTAAGGATCTTTGGTGAATTTCTGTAATTTGAATTACAGAATTTATTTAACCTACTTTTCTAATCGACCTGCTCAGAGATGTTATTACACACCTCCGGAACAGATAGGACTTGAACCCAAGCCTTTCAGTCCAGGGGTAGGGACATTACCACTGTGCCACAAGGGGGCCCAGCATAGCTACTTAACATTAATACGTCAATACAAGGCCTGTGTGATTCATGTTGTTCTCGAAGTGAGCTTTTAGAGGGCAAGTGTCCTTAAAAACCACTTGTTCAACTTACTGCAATGAGTAGTTTCCTAAGGATATAACTGAACCTGACAGACCAGTTATTCTGCAAAAACCTTAGAGACAGCCGATATCTCTTGCTAGCCACACAGAATGTGGTTGGGAGCTTATATTTGGATGGAAGTGACCAAGTTTGAGGGTTTAAATGGAGCTGGAACTTTTTAAGGGCAAAGTATAACCACAGAGAAATTTCTAGTTGCTTTAGAAGCTAAATGGGGGAATGTTCTTTGAAGTTCAGAGTAGAAGTTGTTAATGGAAATAGCTTTTAGATTTATGTTCTTAGTATGTTTATTACAAGAGGCATTAAAGCTTGAAGTCTTATCATGTGATCCCTCCAGGCAGTCACTGAAATTCAGTTCTTTTAAAAGTTCTCAATATGGACCAGAATAGAATATGTAAAGCAAACATTTAATTTATGCTACCTCTTCAGATAATGTACAAAGCATTGCTAACTGTACGTTTGTATTAAACCTGAACTAGCAGTAGTACTGCAACTCCTTGCATTGTGATATGTATGAACAGTGGAGTCTTGACCATGCTATATTCATTTTCACTACTATAATGTTTTGTGTACTGCCTTTGACTTCATTCAGTAAATAACATGGAACCCAGCTTGATGGAGTTTGGTTAGGCAGAATACTGAACTGGGAGATTTGATGAGTGATGGAATTTTAAGATCTAAGCTCCCAGGCAAGAGATGTAGGAAAACAGTGAGCTAGAACTTTTTAACATAGTTAGCATTAATGACTGAAGCTTAATGCCACTAATCTGGTAGAAGTGAATGCAATCAATAACTCAAATTGAATGGCTGTTGCAATCTACTTGTAGATCAAGCTGAGTACAGCAGTGTAAATGACTGGATTGTAGATGTTGGTGTGTTCGCTGAGCTGGGAGGTTTGATCGCAGAAGTTCTGTCCCCTTGCTAGGTGACATCCTCAGTGCTGTGGAGCCTCCTGTGAAGCGCTGTTGTATTGTGCTGGTTTGAATTTATATGGTTTGGTTTTTGCTGCTTCCAGTAGGTGCCTGTTCCGGCTGTGCGTTGTAATGGTCAGTATATTGGGTCTAATTCAACGTGTTTGATGGAGTCTGCGGATGAATGCCAAGCCTCCAAGAATTCCCTGGCTGTCCTTTGTTTGGATTGTCCAATGATAATAGTTTTGTCCAAGTTGAAAGTATGGTTTTTTTCGTCTGTGTATTGTAACCAAGGGCATTGGATCGTGTTGTTTATTTGCTAGCTGGTGTTCGTGGATGTGGGTTGCTAGTTGTCTGCCTGTTTGTGCCACGTAGCCTTTTGTGCAGTCCCCGCATGGTATCTTATAAACCGCATTCATCCTGTTCATGGTATCTGTTGGGTCTTTAACCCTGGTCAGTTGCTATTTTCATGTGGCTGCCGGTTTGTGCGCTGTCATGATTCCTGGTGGTCTGAGTAGTCTAGCTGTCAGTTCTGAGGTGTTTTTTGTATATGGCGTGGTGATTATTGTTTCAGGTTTTGGTGTGTCCTGGTTGTGGTGTCTGTTGGCTCAACATCTGTAGATGAAGCTGTGGATTTCGTTGAATCAGACCTGGTAAAGTCTTTACCAGGAATGGATACTCCCACAGCTTCAACCACAGATGCTTGGCTAACAGACAACACAACCAGGACACACCAAAACCTGAAACAATAATCACCATGCCATATACAAAAAACACCTCAGAACTGACAGCTAGACTACTCAGACCACCAGGAATCATGACAGCGCACAAACCGGCAGCCACATGAAAATAGCAACTGACTTAGGGTTAAAAACCCAATAGATACCATGGACAGGACAAATGTGGTTTATACGATACCATGCGGGGACTGCACAAAACAGGTGGGACAAACGGGCAGACAACTAGCAACCCACATCCACAAACACCACCTAGCAACTAAACAACACAACCAATCAGCACCCAAACTACAAATCTTCACTCAAACCCTGAATGACTGGATTGTTGCATGTGACCTGTCATAGGCCTTTCACCCTATTGAGTCTCTTTATCGTCTAGAAACAATGTAATGATTCTATTACCCAGGAGGGCTTTAAACTGACGAGTGTGGGAATGAGTTCACGTTATGACACATTTAGAAAGGTAATGAGAGAAAAAACGCATTAATGCAGGGAATGATAACAGGAGTGTAACAGTAAATGGCAGGGCATGCAAACAGTGAGTGCATCAGCAAAAAGGGTAGAGGTCAAAGGCAGTGTTAGAGATTCTATATTTGATTTCACTTAACATTAATAATTCATCATTAACTAGATGAAATGAAGACATAAATTTAAAATAGATAGATCTGTAATTGCAAAGTGACAAAGGCTGGGAACTGAATATTCAACTGGGTTGGCGTTGTACTGTTAAGGAAGGATGATCTCCATACAGTAATATGAAATAGTCTTGGCTCAAGATGAAAAATTAGTTTGACGATAGAATCAATTAGGGAAAGAAAGCACTGCTAAGAATTGTATATAGGCTCATTGAGAGAGTACAATAAAGAACAGAATATATATGAAGAAATAATTGGAATTAGGTTTATTGTCACAAGTACTCAATTTCATGGATACATGAGTACAGCAAAAAGTGTACAAAGTTGCAATTTCTGGCACTTTCTTGGGTTCAGAAATACCTAGGTACAAAATCTTAGGTATAGGTTACTAAAATGAAGCAATAAAGGTAAAAGTTCAGCAGGACATCCCTGACAGAGGGAGTCAGCTCTGGGCTTTACCTCATGGCAGGGAGTCTGTGCTGGGCTTAGCCTCGAGGCTGGGAGTCCGTCAAGTCTGTGCTGGCGCGACTGTCCACCACCAAAGCTGTCTGAGGAGTTGAGGTAAATAGAGAGGAAAAAAATATGAAAAGAGGAAAATGAAGAAAAGAAACTGAGAGTGGACGAGCTCCGGCTTAGGGTCCTACTCCGTCGCCATCTTGTTTCTGAATGGGGTCTTGCAAGATGAATGCTGCGCTAAACATGGGCAGTTTTAGTCTTATAAATTGGACAAATCAAATTGGCAGAGGTAAACTTGAAGATAATTTCTTAATGTGTTCAGAATAGTTTATTAAAACCTGTTTTTCTTTGTCCCCATTTTTAATGAGACAGGACTAATTAATGATTTCATAAGAGAACATCCTCTAAACAAGTGTAGTAATAATAAGATAAAGTTAAGAAACTTGGATCTGAAACTGGTCTCTTAAACTCAAATAAAGGTAGTTGGGAAGGATTAAAGATAGAGTTGGCTACAGTGGCCTGGGAAGGTGGTAGCAATTTAAGGAGA